GAAGAACATAAATAAATGGCACAAGCACATATGTTAAAAATGAAATGTCATATATGGAAAATGAAATGTGAATTATTTAAACAATTACAAAAAAATTAAGAAAAGGAGGTTAAGTAAACACAAAACACAAAAATTAGTGTTAGCTTGGTGTCCTCTCTACAGGAAAGGGTAGAGAAGGCAAGGAAACTAGAAACAAAATTGTAGACCTTCTCCAGGCTGGGAAGACTGAATCTGCAATAGATAAGTGGCTTAGTTTAAAGAAACTGTACAGTATGAGGTTACTGGGGGGATGAGCTTTGTTTCCTAATGCTTGTGTATAACAACAAAGGGGCTTAAGACACGATGGTTGTTAAAAACATGCAAAAAGAAAGACAAAATGAAAAAAATAAAAATAACATAAACAAAAGTTGTGTTATTGCATGTAGTGCTCTCACTTGTTTCCTGCTTTTTCTTCAGCTGCAGTGCTCTAGCATTTCTTGGTCACCTGAGTAAAACAGGTTTATGTTTCTAAATAAACAATCAAACCAACAAGTATGATGCTTCATTTTAAAGACTAAGATGTGACCTTTGTGATATTTACAAGTATTTCCAAATTGTTGGCCTAAACAGTGCCACAAAACAGGTTTAACAAACTCCACTCAAAACAGATTAAATGTTTGCTTTTACTTTACTTTTAAAAGCTTAACAAACAAACAAACAAAAAAGATACAAAAGATACACTGTCACAGATAAATATAGTTGATTAATTTTAAAACCTAAATCAGTTTTTGAACTACACCTCTGGAGTCTTTACATTATGTACATTTGTAATATAATGTTGTAGATTGTAGGTCAGTTGAAACACTGCAGCTCCTGCACTAAAGTGACCTGGTGTCCCACTTTATGTGGCATTTATTATTTCTTGTTCCCATCATCCCACAAACTGGAAGAATATCCACATTGTATTGGCTCTACTGAAGTCAGCGCATGAGTCTAGAAGCATGTGGTTAACAAAGAGAGAAAATGTGTAGTGAAGCACAGATGAAGCAGCTGGAATAACAATAATGGTAAATGGCCTGTATTTGTATAGCGCTTTTCTTTAATGGGACAACAGAAAGCAACACCAGGACTGATACAAAGGCTACTGCACAATAAAACAGAGGTAAACTTCAGTTATCATTTATGCTTATTGAATTATTATTATTCACCATTCAAAACCAGATGAACATAGTTTGCCCGTTTATTTATTTATCTATTTATTTTTTATTATCAAAAAATACTTTTAAATTTTAGTAACATTTTTGCCACATATTTACTCTGTTGATTTGTTAGTTTGTGTCTGTCCTGGAAACAGGTTTGTGTGCACAAATGTAAACAAAGTATGGACACACTCAAGAAAACATTTCATCATAGCAAGGTCAAAGGTCAAGCAAGGCCTTAAGTTTGTAATAGTTGCTCAACCAGACCATATCATTGGCATTTAAAGCATTTAATGAAGTTTCCTTTTAACGTGCGCACAGTCACATGATCACAAACAACTGATTGTTTGTCTGACAGGCACATATTCCTTTTCTCATCAGACTTCTGAAGAAACCACGCCTCCTGTTACTGCAGGTGAGTGTTTCCTTTAACCAGTGCTGAAGGAGTCATGCTGCACAGCCTCACTCACTGCAAGGAAGCAGATGCATCAGTTTCACTTATGAGGTAAATACTCTATGTTTGGTTGTTTGTATAATTTACTGTTTAATAGAAACATAAAGTGTGTCTCTGTGGTTCAAACTGACAACTTGTAGCCTCAAACATGTAAAACTGTAGTTCTCAGATGCAGACTTTGTGGTGATTTAAGGTGTATTTGTTTATTTGTGAGGCAATTTACAACAAGCTACATTGTAATAGTTAATTTCCCTCTATGCTGTACACTAGAATGCAATGAAGGCCATCTACGGAGAAGAAACAGTAAAAGCATAATTATGCCAAATAATTACGACATCATTAAGATGAAGTCTAACTTTTCTTGAGTCAAAATAGTTAAAATCATTTATTCTGATCATAGATAACTGTTGATAGGTCATCAAGTTGAGTTATAATGCTGTTTTTAAACATGTACATTTTTTGAGCACAACATGAATGCAGAGGTATATCTCTTTAATGTGACGATTTTCTTCTTGTTTTACAGAACAAAATGAGCCTAAAAAACTGGTTTGGATTCCCTCTCAGCCCAGGTAACCTGACACAAGTATGTTCAAATGTAAAGCTCAGTACTTGTTTATATGTGTATAAAAATACTTCAGAAAACTCTGCTTTTCTTCACTTGCTAATTTGTACTGGCTGTTAGATGACAAATAAAGAAACAATTTTTTTGACATTGGAGATTATTATTATTAATAGTAGTAGTATTATTACAGTTATTTTGTTTTCATGATTTTCTTTAATTTTTCACTTTAATTTTTCACAGAGAATTTGACTTCTTCTCCGGTCATCTGCATCGGTATTGTCGGTACTGTTGTCTCGGGGGCCGTTGTTCTTATTAAATACAAGGTAAACAAAAGAAAAACAGTAAAAAAAAAACTAAACACTAATCAACGATTACCAACTTGGGTCTTATTAATCTGGAGGAGCAAAAATGAAAATAAGACAGCTGAGAGGAATTCAACTGAGGCTTTTAGCTGAGGGGAAACAGAAAATGAAACCAAACATATAAGTAAACAATGGACATTTCTTCTGTGTACTTCAGATGAAGAAAGAAACAAAGAGAATTGCATGTTAGAATGAAGTCTAACCTGAACAACAAGGTTCAGTCAGAGATGAATCAGAAGCACAAAGCCAAGAGAGCAACTCAGGAAAAAGACAGGGGGAGGAGAGAGAGACAAACAGCCTACGCTAAAAACAAATTACAGATGGTGTAAAAATGAATGACGGTCATTGCTTTGTGTAAAGGCATGATAGTGGGACAAACTTAGAAAAATAGATAGATACCACAATAAAATCGCCAACCATCACAGTGAGACTGTTGTAAAGCAAACGCACGTTTTTAGAGGTGTTGCTTTCTTGTCTTTTGACAGCTTGTTTCAGTCTTTCTCTTTAGTGCCACTGATGCGACGTTTGTGTGTACAAATCTAAACAAAAGTAAAGGTGCACTCATGAAAACATGTTTTCACAGTATGGTTTACCATAGAGTACCTTTTAATTTCTGTAGGGTGAATGTAAGACACTGCCATCAAGTGTAGTTTCATTCTGAAGTACACTAAAAGCAAACCATAAAAAAGCATTAAAAAAATCCACTTGCATAAACTGAAAAAACTTCCTCAACATGTGTGTAATGAGCTCCTGATCTTTTTAAACATAGAAGTCACAAGCTGAACTCAAGAGCAAGGATGAGGAGATTGAGGAGCTCAAGACTCAGGTAATTCTATATAACAAATTAAAGGACTTTTAAATTTTCTTTCAATCACATATGCGTCAATAAAAGCAGATGCCTATCAATGAGTCTCCGAGTAAAGATATAAAAGCTGATGTCCTGATGCTGCATGATGAGAATGAACAGAATGAAATCCTGCAGATATTCGAGCAGTTGCAGAAGACAGAGGCTGAACTCAAGAGCAAGGATGAGGAGATTGAGGAGCTCAAGACTGAGGTAATTCTATATAACAAATTAAAACATTGCTCTTAACTGTAAGGAGGCCACAGGGCAGATCCAGGACACAGTGGAGCCACATATCTCTCATGACCTGGGAACCACTTGATGTTCCCCCAGAGCTGAAGCAGGGGGCTGGAAAGAAGGGGGTCTAGGTTTTCTTGCTTACACTACTGCCCCCATTCCACAAGCCTGGATGAGCAGAAGAAGATGGATGGATAACATGTCACTGCTCTCTGCATATTTGAGCTGAGACAAATCGGCAACTCTTCCCCCCATTCATTATGTAGCCATTAAGCTAAGCTCTAGGAGTATAACCAGTATGGCTAATGTGATACTGAGCCACTGTGTTTGTTTTTTGTTAGCTGGAGAGACTTCAGTGGCTGAGAAATGACACGCTTAAAGGGATGGATGAGTCACAAAGGAAGTTCACCAAGCTTACCCTTGCTATCAAGAGGATGGAGAAAGTAATTCTCAAATACAAACACAAACTTCCTCATACAATATCACCACTGTTCCATTAAGTTTGTGGTAGATTACAACACATACCATTTTATGCAATTGAGTCTTTGTTAAAAGCAGAGTGAGGAGACACACATTTTAAGCTTAATACAACTTCATGGTTCTTCAATTATTTTTCAGTTGGAGGAAAATGTAGGTTTACACAGGGTCCAATCACCTTGTTCTAAATATGAATCGTTGGAGAAAGACCTGCAGAAAGTGAAGACAGAGCTTGAGGCCAGCCAATCAATGGTTAGTTTCTTTTATTTCTTTTACCTCCATATATTCAGTTTTATATCAAATTATATCTATGCACTGAATATTTTTATATGAGTCCATCAACCACCTTCAAAAAGAGGAATAGAAACAACAACATTTTGCTACTTGCCAGTGCTAAGATTGTTGCCAATATTGGTAGCATAGCGTAGCGTCAACATGAATGCCAAATTAAAAGACAAAACTAATGAAGTCATGAAGCTCCGTGCGGTGAGAAAATAAATATTTCATTAGCCCATTTCACAACATATTCTGTTATATTGATTCTGTATTAACCCTTTAAGACCTACCATAGAACCAAGTCCGCCAGAGCTTATATTATATTTTTACATGCTGTAGTGCCATTTTTGGGAGCATTTCAAGTTGCTATACATCAATACAACCATTATAGCCCAAATTTAAATAATATGCATAGTAATTACATAAATTGCAAAAAAGTGCAATAAACTACAAAAAATTGAAAATCATTTTTGTTTTTTTAACATGTATTTGTAGTTAGAGAAATTTAAGAAGCTTATCCCTCAAAACTGTAAATACAAAAAAGTTGCACAAAATAGTTTCCCACCACAGGAAATTTATTTTGAGTGTCTTCATAGTTTTATTTTTGAAATACGCCAATTTTTATATACTGCAGGAAAAACAAAAATAAATAATATAATGCAACTTTGCAAAAAAAACAGCATATGCATCAAAATAAACTATTTCCAGCAGGTCAATTTGACTTCTAAGCATCCCAGAAACGACAGAGAAAGTCATAAAGTCAAACATAACTTTTAAAAACACCAGTATAGGCTTATGAGGCCCTGATGGTAAAAAACTACATTTCTGCAAAAATGATTTCACTTCCGGTTTCGGGCTGTTAATGGTGGACATGCGATAGTTCACGCTGACGTCTATTCCAACGTAGTGTTATGAACAGCTGATCGGATCGGCAAAGCGTGTTACTGGAATATTATGTTTTTGTTGCTACAAGTGCTTTTTATGCAATTTTTGCAAAGCTATATGTGGAAGGAAACCGGGACCTAGGGCAAGCTGATGGCATAAGATGTAAGTACAACTCCTCAGGTTTCATATCGTTAGCTTCATAGCATAAGTGCCTAAGTCATTTTTTTGTGATGACATAGGCAGACGGACAGGATGATGCAGCAGTGGTAGGGGAGTAAAGTTAGGCAAAAATCTCAATTTGACCAAAAAATGACTTAGGCACTTATGCTATGAAGCTAACGATATGCAAAAAAAATTATTGCGCTAGCTCACGTGGTTGCAGAGCTACCGGGATTTAAAAATAGTTACGCAAAACGGAGCGTAACTATTTTTAAATCATATTTTTTTGTTTTTAAAATTGTTAAGGTGTTTCTAAAGTAGTCTAAGGAGCTTGGAAAGAAAAAACTAAGAAAAAAAGAAAAGAACCCAAACTCCACCATTTGACCTTAGAACTGAAGAAGCTTCTCGGATGAGAGGTGAAACGTCTTCAAGCAACTTAAACAAGTCCAGATGCTTTTCTTTCCAAGCTCCCTAGACCATGATGACCTGGATGACTGAGAACCTTCACAGACGTTTCTAAAGTAGATATTGTTCTTTGTAGTAATTTTTTTGATGAACTCAATACCAGCTTTATTCCATCATTTTGGTTGGTAAATATGTTCCCTAACTGAACAGACAGATGACTTACACAGTACAATACAGAAACTTTTCCCTTTTAGTAAAAATGACTCGGATGTTTTCCTTTTCTCAGGTCAAAGATCTAGAGGCTGAAGTCCTTGAGCTTCGTGTTGAAAAAAATAAGTGGTTGGGAGATAAGGAGGAGCTACAGACCACACAGAGGAAACTTGAGGCAAAGAATAAAGAGGTGAATTTTTCATTCCTTATGATGAAGAAGCCGATTGTTTGGGGGTACATAGAATTATTCAAACTATTAATTTCTCAATAATCTTTATTGTGAGTACCCTTACTGACAGAACACACACAGCAGATAGTGGTTAAAATATTTCTTTGAAAACATTAAACAACTTGAAACCACCACAACTTTTAATTTTTTTCTGCTTACTCAGCTGAATGTTGAAGTATCAAAACTACAACATCTGCTTAATAAAGAAAAGCAGATGAGGAGCGATACTGAGATGGACGTGGAATCCCTGAAAACAAAGCTGGAGACCAACGGTGAAGAGGTAATTTTATTTTCATGTTTTTTTTTATTATTATATTAACTCATTACCTTATATCTATTCTTTTATGCATTCAGGTTTGAATTTTACTCCAAATACAAAACATTTTCGAAAATATTAATTTTAGCTCCAGTTTCTCTCTGGAAATCACTGACTATTTAATGTCTTTTTTAAAGATCATTATTGATGTTTACATTAATTACATAAACTGAAATAATCAGGTTAAATATTTAATATTTTTTTCTTCTGTTAAATGACTCAATTTTCATTGTTTCACTCCTTACCATGAAAAGTTAAAAGAAAAAGAGGCTGAGCTCTTGAAGCTTCGCGCTGAGAGAAACAGAAGATAAAGAGATGAGAAGGAGCTGCAGACCAAAAATAGGAAGTTTGAAGCCGAGAAGAAAGAGGTTCATATTTTGTTCATTAGATTTAATATCTAATATTTCTAATGCAAAATAAAAAGTTAACATGCTGTTTTTTCTCATCACAGTATGTAATTATCTTGTAGAAACTCTTATAAATATACCTTTACCTTTTTCCCTCCCGTCCCAGTTGAATGAAGAAGTAGCTAAATTACAGCAGAGACTTGGGAAAGAGCAGCAGAGGAGGCAGGATGCTGAAATGGCCCTGAAGTCCTGAGTGAAGGAGCTTGAGACTAAAGACTAAGGGTTCATATTTTTAATTTAACTGCATTTCATCAAGGTCTTCATTACTGATTTTTTATTGAAAGACAAATTTATTCAAATAGCCCAAAGTTCATCAAATTGTCCAATATATGATTTAATCATTTTATGTTAAATTGCATTGGAATATATCAGTTTTATATTTGTTAATACACAGTGTATACATACATACTCTAATTTGACTTATCCTTTAATGAAGTTACTTTTAGTGATTAATTCATCCTCAGTAAGTCATCGTTGATGAGACTGTTGTTTTTATTTTGTTTCCCCCATTTTCTTCCTCTCAGCCATTTATGCACATAGTAAGTCCCACCTCATTTACATGTGTTCAGTTCAGTTTATTACTAACCTATACTACTACTAAAAGTGGCTGCGTGTAGCAGGAGCTGCAGCTAATTTAGGCAAATTGCATTTTTATTGGTCTGGGTGTGAAAAGTGAAGCTAATGGAGCAAAGTTTGTTCAACCTCTATGACCAGCAGGGGGAGACTGCTCTGCTTTAACTTATTTAGGCGTTCATTACAGATTAGCCTCCTTTCTTATATTCCCTTCTCTCTCTTCCAAGTTTGAACATAAAGTAACTGAAGTCCAGCAGCAGGTAAAAGATGAACAGAGGAGGGAGGAAGCTGAGTAAGAAGTGGAGGTCCTGAAACGGGAGTTGGAAATGGGATTTACTTAACATCTGTATATTTGTAAAATAGTTAAAGATTCATTTTATAGTCCTGAGTTTGTATGAGTCAAGTACATAAGTACAATGCCATAGGGTATGGATACGGTTCATGTAGTCTGGATCTAAAATGCTCAGATTGTTTCCTCTTTGTTCCCAAACCTCTGTTTGTCCTGTTTTCTCTGTATGTGTCATATCATCACAGCAACAACTGAGAAAGAAAACTTGAAATTTATAGTGAGCCAAGAGTGTTTTTTTTTTTTTTTTAGATTCACACTAAAATATGAAAAATAAAGCAAATGATTTACAGATCATATTGGTAAAATAAATGTTTAACCACTTGGTTTTTGTGTGTAAATCATCTTTTATTCAGCCAAAGACAGCAGCAGAGAAATCTATGACAGCATCTCACATCTTTGGAGGAAACTGTGATTAAAAGAGATCCAGTTTTTGTGTAAACTACACTGGAAAAAAAGAACATGTTGGATTCATTTAATTCAATAGTGTAATTGGTTGCACACAATTGTTTTGCTTTGGCATAAACTTTAAAAACTGAGTTAAAACAACACAACTTATTCATATTCAATAAACCTATGCATTTTGTGTTCAGAAAACGTGATTGAAACATGTTCAGATGAACTAAATTGAGCTCTTGGAATATTTTAATCCTTCACAATTTTGTCACTTTATTCCAAAACTATTCAATAACTTTGTGGGAGGCACTTTCCCCACGTACACACACGCACAGACACACACGGTACGTTATTGCAGATGCAATGTTTATTCTGAGCTTTTGTTATTAGTTTTGACAGTCCGCCGTCCACTCCGCTCCTCTCCCGTCTCACTAAAAAAGGGGAAGCAAAACCGTCATCAGCCCAAACGCCATCACCTGTTCTCACCTGCTTCTCCAGCACCGCCCCGTTGAGCTCACTGCACCACTCCTCCCCTGCAGCCGCGCCCGGGACCACACCTCTGCCACAAACTTTTATCCCAATACAGCTTAATCACTTAAATACTACATGTTGCCTTTGTATTACATAATGTTCAACAAATGTATTGGTTTTACAACAACTTCCACTCTATCTTCCTATCTTTATCTGGGTTGCAGGGGGGCTGGGGCATAACCCAAAATTGATAAGAGGTGGGGTTAACCTTGGACAGGTCGCCAGTCCAACGCAGGGCTAACACAAAGAGACAGACACCCATTTGCCCTCATTCACACTGATAGGTAATTTGGAAACAGTAATTAACCTAGCTCTACTAAATGCATGGCTTTTAACTGTGGAAGGAAACAAGAGTACCCAGAGAGAACCCACTTGAAACTAGCCTGGTTGTAGATTTGAACCAAGAACCTTCTTGGTGTGAGGTAACCACCACACCACCAAGCTGTCAAGCTGCTTGGTGCTGAATTTTCTGTACGTTTCTGTCCTTATAGATTAAACCACATAAATAGTACTAGCATACACATTGTGTGTGTATAGTTGTCTTCCTCTTCGTCCAGGCAACTAAACACTCTCACTAGATTGCATCATGTCATCTCAACAAGAACAAATTAAGTTGTTGAATTTGATGCAGATACATGATTTAACTAGAAACGTGAAATAATTTTTTTCAAATTACAAGTTACACATTTGTACACATAAAAACAATGCAATTTCCTTTTTTTTAGTGTACAAACACACATGTGTGTTTTTTTGCAGGATTTACCTAATGTCTTGGGAATAGTTCTCAAAATTCAAATTCAAATTTTATTTGTCACGTACACAGTCATACACAGTACGATATGCAGTGAAATGCTTGGACAACTGCTCGTGACCTAAAGAAAACAAAAAGGAAAAGGCTATGAATAAGATAGGAAATAAATATGAAAAATTAAAAAGGGTAAATTTAACTAGGAAGGAATAAGATAAAATATATAAATTAAAGTTGAAAATAAAATAACTACAACAAAATACACAATATAGAACTATATAAGAATGTATGAAGAAATATAAATAAATATATACACAATAACAGCAGCTGTACAAGTATTAACCGGAAATGAAGAATGTAGTGACCAGTGTTGTGCAATCCACATTATGTCTTCTGCATGTCGACATTGTTTTTAGCTGTGTTGGTAGTATTGTCAGGCATCTCCGAAAACGTTAGAGCACTTTTGCAAATATGTGATGTCTTGATAAATCGAGCAGATATTTGAAGTTCACACAGCACCATTCTCGCATGAAAATATCATAAAAGTTTATTTTGTGACCCAGAAAGAATAATATTTCAAACTCCGCCACTCCGTGTTCCTCGATGCAGTGGACAAAATGGATTCTGGGATATTGCATTTCGTCATTTCGAGCTGATTGGAGACCAGAACAGCCAATCAGATATTTTTGCATCCAAGTCTGTGATTGGCTGGTTTTGTGGCACAAATATAACGGTGTAGAGGAAGAGTTGAGCGCGCACGGGCAGAAATGTTGAGAGCGCAAATGCAAAAACTGAGCGAGAGGGGCTGCTATTGTGTGTGTGTGTGTGTGTGTGTGTGAATAATAGCAAACACTGAAATAAATTTTTTGGACGCAGCAATGAATTTTGTTCACTCAAATTCAGCTTTTCTTCGCTCAAAATAAATTTCTCCTCAAAGAGCAACACTTGCACCTGCAAACTTTTTTTACTTGCGCTCAAATTTTTTTTTACGTGCGCTCAGAATAGTGGAACAAAAATAACGCCATACAGTTCAGCTTGTTGTTGTTAACTGAAAATATTATGAGTTCAAATGCATTTTATTTTTAAAATAGTTGATCTTTCTCTTAAACGGGGATTCATAAATTGACTAAATTCGAATCCACTGAACGGCTACCCTGAGGTACCCCTGAGCAAGGTACCGTCCCTACACACTGCTCCTCTGGCTCTGGATGGGTGGCTGCCCACTGCTTCACTGAGTGAATGGGTTAAATGCAGAGGAGTAATTTCCCTATGGGAATTAACAAAGCATATATTACATTATTACATTATACTTTGCATTATTAAACACATGAACTACATATCCAGAACAGATGGACTTAGCTTCTGGGTTTAGAAATGTGATGTTAATTCAGAAATGCATTAAAAGTGCATTCTTCCTAACGACCAGCAGGGAGAGGAACACATGTGGTTGCAGCTGCAGAAGAGGTAAGATGAGATAAGATAAACCTTTATTAGTCCCACATGTGGGAAATTTGTTTGGTCACGGCAGAAAGTGGACAGTGCAGAGTAATGAGCCGCAAAAATGAAGAAAAACAATAGAATAGAGTAAGATAAAATAGAATAGCATACTATATAAAATGGAATGAAGTACTATATAAAAAAAAACTATGTTGCATCAGAAAAATTGCACTTGTAATATTGTACATAAGGGACACTAAGCAAAGGCTATTATGGTGTATTGGATGTGTGTCTGTCTGTCTGCCACCATAGAAGGTCTTCAGTAGTTGCCCATTCACTCCAAGAGACTTGAGCCTCAACAGGAGGTACAGCCTGCTCTGCCCTTTCCTCCTTTCCTGTGGACACCACATACTGTGGTCGGTCAGCGAGGTAGTCCAGTATCCATGTTGTGAGGTGATGGTCCTCTCCTGAGTTCTCCAGCTTGTCCAGTAGGACTGTGGGAAGCAAGGGCGTAGATTTGGTTTTG